GGGGGCTGCTCAGTGCCAGCATGAGGAACTGCCTCCCGCCACAGGTGCTGCAGTCCCAGACACGCTTCCGGAAAATTCCGTGCTGCGGCTCTCAGCTGGGTGATGCGGCCCCACCCTCACCTAATGGGGACCAGATGTGGGCCCAGACTCCCCTGCCGGCGGCTGACTGCTGGGCAGCTCTGGAAGGGCCTGCGGGCGCCAGGCTGGGCAGCACTCCCAGCCCGTGAAGCTGGAGCGAAGAGGAGGGCCGCGCCTTACCCACCGCCCTCCTGCCTCAGGGTCAGAGGACGCCAGCTGTCCACTAGGCTGCCCAGGGCCACCGCCCAAGTGGACGAGCCCAGCCAGAGGTGGAGGGTCAGCAGGGTCTCACAGTAGCCCACCTCAGAGCAGGCTGTCAGGGGTTCTCGGCCAGCTCCTCATGGAAGTGCCTCAGGCCTGTCCCCCTCAGCACTGCTGGGTGGCTTCACACCCTTCTGCTATGTGGTGGGGGACAGGAGTCAGCTCAGACTCACAGCGACCCTCTGCACAAGAAAGGACACCTGCCACCCTGCGCCAGCCTCACAACTATTCCTGCGCTTTGTTGCAGCGACTGCCTCAGCCCCTTGTACCGAGGACCTTCCCCTTTCTCGTACCCCCCTTTTGCCCTGCTTTACCAAGAACGATGCCCTTTTCCAGGGGCATCTCTGCTGTTGGATGCCCAAAGTATGTAAGGTGAACTCTAGCCACCCTTGCCTCTAAAGTGCACTCAGGCCATCCTCCTTCCAAGACAGATTGGTGGGTCCTTTCAGCAGTCCGTGGTACTTTCAGGGTTCTTCCCCAGCACCCCATCCAGATGCATTGATTCTTCTCCAGTCTTCCCTATTCAGTGCCACCACCAAATGGCTACTATGGAAGCTATGCGTGAAACCCTTATGCAAAGCTTCAAAACCACAGGCTTGCCTCAAGGGCTGCACCAGACGACACAGGTGCCCACGTGAAACCTTATTGTGACCACTGCCCCCAGTGACCCTGCAGAAATGGAGGGCCAGGGGCCACTCAGATTCGGGCCCAGTGGAGAGGGGTCTAGCCCACAGCCCTTGGTTTTCTGAGGTGGGGCCCACATGGAGGTGGGGGGGTTCCTGGGTTTTCTATTTGCTTCTAACTCAGCTCCTTCCCCTGGCCCTGCCCACTGAGTAGCAGCTTCTCTGGGGCCCTGCTCATCTGCTTCCCAGTGGGAAGGATCTCAGAGGGACCCCGGGCTCCGTAGAGTCCTGTAGAGGCTCCCGGGAGCTCGGGATTGCTGCTGATTCTACACAGGCCACAGCATCAGGGGCAAACGCCGTCCCTGCGTGCTCACGCTGTCAGCAGCTCGCCAGGCCTCAGAGTTTGTGAGTACAGCCTGTGAGGACGGCTGACCGAGCACGCAGACATCTATCAAACAGCCCGGCAGTAGCAGCAGAAATGTGGCCCTCCGTCCAAGGGAACATTTTCCCTTTGATTGCTACAAATCCATGAGCCCTTGGGTCCAAAGCTTCTACTGCCGTTTGCAGATGGATTTTTATAGCACATTAGTGCTGGAGGAGAATCCAAAGAAAATAGTCCTCTTTCTATTAGAACCAGCTGTGACTTTCTCCAACCCATGACTCATTCTTCTCTTTAATTGGGTGGGGGCACCAGGCAGAGGCGCACTGAGCCTGAGTCATGACGCTGTTTGTTTTGCAGGGGGGGGCAGGGGGTGTCCCGGCCACAGTCAGCCCGATGGCACCAGGGTGCCACTCATGTTTATTTAACTTTTTTCTCTCAACAGTTCCGATGATAAAAACAGAACCCAGTGACGACTTTGAGCCTGCGCCAGCCTGCGGACCAACAATCCCGGGGCTCGGCCCCCTCTCAAAGCCCTTCTTCGGCCAGCAGCTGCTTCTGCCCTCCGACCCTGGGGCCTGCCTGCTGACCGGCTTCACGTCCTGCCAGCAGAAAAGCCCAGTGATGGCCCCTCCGCCCAGCACGAGCCCGAAGCTTCAGGACCTCTCCACTGCCACCTTCACCAAGGGCAGCCCCGGCGCCGGCCACAGCCGCCTTGGCCTCCAGCAGTCCACCGCTGGAGGGCCTGCCACTGCTCAGGAAGTGCCAAGACCCCGAGCTGCCTCCCAGTCACCTCAAGGCTCACTGCCCCCGCCTCCGCTGCAGGTGAGTCCCCTGCTGAGCACTGGCCGTCCCCTTGGTAACCAGCAAACACTGTCTCCCAGCAGCCCCTCCTGTCCACTTCCCCATGCCCTTACCCAAGAGCCCACCTGTTTGCAGCCTCCCAGCCCAGCCTGCCCCAGCCCAGCGGGCCACCTGCAGACGCAGCCGCGGAAGGTTCACGGGCCCGAGTCGCCAACCGCCCGACCCCTGCCACTGCCAGAGTTGCAGGAGGACACTAGTCATAATTTGGCCCCCATTCCTGTAACCATCAAGCGGGAACCGGAAGACTTGGACCAGTTGTCCCTGGACGACGGTAAGTGCCCACCGATGCGCCTGCGTGCGGTCAGCCCTGTGCCCTGAGCGTCGGACGGCAGGCCCCCACGTGCACTGCCTCGCGCAGGGTGGGTTCCTTCTGTGTCATCCACGGTCACACCGGCGCAGGCTCGGTCTCCACCCAGCGGCTGCTGGCCACTATCTTGGCCATGTGGCTGCGACTTGACTCTCCAGGCCTGCAGGACACACTGTCCCAGGGCAGGCACCAAGGACACTGACCAAAGGACAACCAAGCTCATGCTGAGAAGGTCCTGGCCTATATAGGACTCCAGGTCCAGCCTTTTGGTCCCTGGCATCTGAGAGCTTCTCTAGCTTAGTGACCAGGTCTCAAAGTGACAGCTTGGCTGATGGTCATTGACTGGTTACTGTTATAGGCCCCTCTGGTGTGCTTGTGTGGTGGACTTCATGGTGGGAGCTCACTGACTGAGTGCAGGCCTTCGACATGGTCTGAGCAGACCAGAGTGACCACCAGCCAGCTGTGTGCACAGGGAGTCCCCTGATGGCCGTGTGCACAGGGAGCCCCCTGATGGCCGTGTGCGCAGGGAGCCCCCTGATGGCCGTGTGCACAGGGAGCCCCTGGGGTGGGGGGCATGATGGAAGGAGATGTGTGGAGATTACTTGAAAAGGAGACGCCTCTGGAATATCTGTGGTCGGCTAATTGGTGCCGACACCCTGAATGCTAATACATTTCGCTAATGAGGTAACAAAAGGCGCCCCATTGTGCTACGAGGCTATTTGTTTGGTGAAGAGGCTCCTGGTCTGGGGCGGCCTGGGACAGGACGGGGCGGCACTGACTTGCCAGCGGCTGGGCCTTTGATCCACACCTCCCATAATTGCAGCTCCACTGTCAGGCCCAGCCCGCAGCAGTGGGCTCATTAGGCATCCAGTGTGGCAGGGCTGTGTGGGTGTCGGGCCTTCTGTGCAGACACATCCCCAGTGTTCAACAGACGAAGGGACCAGTCAACACCTCTGGAACCTCTTGCCAGAGTCACCCTGAGCGGGTGTGGGCTCAGAGAACACACTGGGCTCGGGAGATTCTGGAAGGCTCCAGAGGCCTCTTCAGCCCTCTGACACTGCCTCCAGAGGAGCCCCTGGAAGCCTAGTGTAGCCGCAGCTCTAGTGCTGCCTCCTGGTTCTGTGCTGCTCTCCCTTTGGTCCCCTCCTACAGCCCTTACGGCCCTCCGCACACACGCCCACAGCCCTGCAGACCCTCCAAGTCCCCACCTCCAAGGCTCTGACCCTTCTGGACCACCCAGAGCTGCAACTATTCCCAGCCTCCTCTCACCCCACCCACCAATGCCAAGGGTTTGCACCCCGTAATTTCCCCATGGCTCCTTGCACCATGAGGTGCCATGGGGACGCTGCCCAACCCTCATGTCACCTGCTCTGCCTCCTGGCTGCTCACTTGAATGAAGATTGAATGTCCTTCCACCTCCTGAACTCTAGTCTCCCCACATCTGCATGTGCCCTGGAGCCTATTGCTCCCAAGAATCTGGGGTGGGGTGGCGGACCCCAGACCAGGGGCAGCAAGCGGGCCCACACCTGCATTTCATCAAACCCAACAGTGAGGCCCTCCTAACCCCCAGAGAGCAGGATGTGGGGATGCCGGGCCACCAGCCTCACCTCTGATGGCCCTCCCCACCCCCCGCTCTGGGGTGTCACTCCGGGGTTCCTGTCCTGTCCTGTCCCGTGCCCTGGGTCATGTCTCCATCACCGAGTGGCATGCACAGCTGCACGGCACGGACGTGCGCTTCCAGGACTGCTGTGTGCTGGGGCGCCCTCACGCGTGGCGGTGTCGGGTGCGCCTCTGTGTGCGCCGCAGATGTTGAGGCTGGCGGTCAGCCCACCAGCATTGCTCTGGCTGTTAGGGGCAGTCCTGCTGAGGTTGTGGCAGGACGCTCGTGGGAACCAGCTCCAGTCTCTGAGCAGGGCTCCCTGGCTGGCCGCCTCCACGCTGCGCGGCTGTGGCCCTCACTGAGTGTGCGCACGCGTGTCCACCATGCCTGGGCTTGGTTTTCCAGGAAGCAGGATGGACATGGCATCAGTAGGGGTGCCCGCCTGCACACCCAACCGGCACCTGTGGTCTGGGGACCCGCAGGGCAGGAAGCTAGGAAAGTGGGCCTGCACGCAGCTGCCCACAAGGCTCGGCCGGGTTCTCGGCCATTTCTGGGGAGGTTTCACTGCCAGCTTCTCCTCTGGTCCAGCCTGTCTGTGAGAGCCAGGGGCACGGGTCTTCAAGAGCAGTTTCGGGGAGCTCGTGTGTTGACTGGAGGACGTTCAAGGCCCGACAGGGAGCTGGCGGCGTGGTTACGGGCTGTGCTACTAACCTCCAGGCCCTCCGTTTGCAACCACCAGCTGCTGCCCAGGAGAAAGGCGGGCTCTCTGCTTCCGTAGAGTCCGGTGTCAGACATGCACAGGGCCAGTCCTGCCCTGTCCTCAGGGTCTCTGTGGGTGGGCTTCCACCCCACGCAGTGCGTTCGGTTTGGCTCCAGGCCATGCCGCACAAGGTGCTCGGTCTCACGGTCCCACGAAGCCTATCCTGGACCAAGGTCTGGGGCGTGCAACCACCTCTCGGGTCCGCTTATGCATGACTCAGATGTGTGTTCACACAGAATAGGACGTGTGTTGCGTGGTGACATGTGTGTGAGCGTGTGAGGTGCCGGGTGCCCTCAGGTAGGTCTGTACCACACAGCACCCCCTTCACTGGACAGAGAGACCCTTGCCCAGTATTGCCCATGATGTGACCAGCTCTGGGGCATAGAATCAGTTTGTCAGCCCCTGCCAAGCCCCTGTGGGTTCCTGCCTCCAGAAGCCTCGTTGTCCGTGAAACAGCACATGGGTAGAGGCTAACTGTCTGCTGACACGGGTAGACTGTGATATTGACTGTCTGCTGACACGGGTAGACTGTGATATTGACTGTCTGCTGACACGGGTAGACTGTGATATTGACTGTCTGCTCACACGGGTAGACTGTGATATTGACTGTCTGCTCACACGGGTAGACTGTGATATTGTCTGCTCACATGGGTAGACTGTGATATTGCCTGTCTGCTCACATGGGTAGACTGTGATGCTGACTGTCTGCTCAGGTCTGGGTGTGCTTCTCTCTCCCCTCACCCTGTCTTTCCTGAGCCTCCGCTGTGCCGAGAGAAGACAAAATGCTTCCCGCATGGAAAGTTTTATGCATCTGGCCTGGTGCCGCGCCTGTGCCTCCGCCCCCAATGGAGATGGAAGGGGATTGTCAGGCTGCTGTGTGAGGGGCGGAGGGGCTGGCGGGCTCCCGGGGGAAGGGGACTATGCTGGGAGGGCGCCGTGATGTGGAGGTATGAGGCAGGTCTCTGAGGTCCCACAGACTAGGGTCCCCGTGCAGGAGCCCCAGGCCCATGGAGGAACTCTGAGGAGGAAGCCTGTTCAGCCCTCCGAGGCTGAGCTGCCTGCTGCTCCACCCCCACCCCCATGCCTGCTCATCACTTTGCCCCATGGCCACCTGCCCAGGACTTCTGGACCTGGTGCCCGGTGGTGACACACAGCCCATGGGGCCATTCTGCACTGGCACTGACTCCAGGGCCCTCGCAGTGCACAGTGTGGCAGCAGCCTCAGTCACCTGCGTCTGTATTAGGTTTTATTTTGGTGTTGGGTGTCACAGCGGAGCCCTAGGTTCTGCAGATGGTAATACGGCCGTCGGACCCACCCAGCGTCCCTGGTGCTCTCCCACGGGGCCCCCACATCACAAGCTGACCCTTGAGACCCCACTACTCCTGTGCCCTCAGAGCCTCCACAGGGCCAGCAGTCACTGCCGTCTAGCCAGAACTCTCAGAGCAATGGCCGCTGGGAAAAGCAGACCCCAAGCAGCCTGGTCACCCAAGCCAGCTGGTGGCAGTGCACCCACCGAGGGGTCCTTGTGGACCTGCCTCTCCGGGCCAGGGAGGCTGAGCACAGCAGAGCTCCATCCCAAGTCCACTGAGTCGGGGACCTTGTAGCGGGCCATCCGTCGTCCCTCTGTCCGCTGAAGAACTCATGCCCAGCTGTGCCGTCACACTCAGGCTGCATGGGCTCTGAAGACTGTCCCCAGCTGCCCGCCGTGGAGTGTGGTGGCGAGCTCCACACCTTGTCTAGCCTGACCCTGGCCCCACGGCCCCACCTGTCCTGTGCACTCGGAGGGATGTTCAGTGACCCCTCTGCCCTGCCTCCCCTCCACAACCATGACCCTAAGTCTGGTCACCTCTCCTCTCCTCACCAGGGCCGAGCTCGCTTCTTCTCAAGAGCAAGTGGTTTGAGCAGTGACTGAGGGTGGGCACATGTGGTGGGTGGCAGAGGACCCTCGGGTGGGCTTGTGTGAGTCAGCCGTGCAGCTCTGCACGGGCCGAGCGGTGTGCCCGAGAAGCAGAGAGGCGCGAATGCTGGCGGGTGTGGCTGTGCATGCTCCAGATGGGTGGGTGGTGTTGCCACTTGTCAAGGCAAGCTGTGAACGATGGCGGCGAGGGTGGGAGCCAGCCTGCCTCTGCCTGGTGCGCGGCTGGTCCCTGCCTCTTCGCCTGAGCTCCCTCCCCGCCACCCTCCCACCCCCACCGGCCGTGGCGGCGGTGGCTGGCGGCCGTCGTCACAGGTGCTTCAGCCCCACTGACCTGCAAATGGAAACCGGCTGTGCGGGCCGCCCCAGCAGAAAGCAA